GCGCTTCAGACGTCCCACAAGACAGACGCCCCTGATTATTATATGCAGTGTTCTATAAGAAGATACTGTTAATACAATTAACTTAGTAATTTCAACAAAGTGCGAAATCAATTAAGGCGGTTATAGTCTACTAGACTATAACCGCAACAAAGGAATGCGAATTTTGAGCATTAGAAATGAATGATTCATTTCTAATGCTCAAAATTCGCATTCCTTTGTCGTTTAAGAAAATAGCAGCGTTCTTTGTCTACAAACTGACTGATGATGAACGTGTTTTGTGTGTTTTTGTTGAAGTCTTAAGCATTATTGTACTTAGCTTTAAGTATCACAAAAAAAATCCGTACCAAACATAATATACTAAACCTATTACACACACAATCAGTTCCAAACAGTTTGTATATTTTTCAGTGAAATCAATCTATTGAAAGATAAAAGTAAAAATTTTACCGTAGCGCATTTGTTATATTACTAGAATCATTGAAAACTATATCCCTTAGCCCACAAAAACAACTTGTGCGTAGTTTACTTGTCATTAACTTCTGCAAATATTCATTTTTTTTCAAGTATGTTGATTATCATAATTCAACGACAAATATACATATCTTTCCTAGATAAAAACCTGCAGGCCTTTTGTATCCTCATTTCATGATTACAATGTTAGAAGCTTTCTAAATTATCACCATGTGTTGAAATAATTTGTATGACAACATCAATAATGAATATTTATTGAGATTGTGAAAGCTTTAGATTAAAAACTTTAATCATCATCAGTCACAGAAGAGTACTAAAATACATATACGTTGATGGCTTAGCCGTGCTCACGTTCGTTTTCCATCTGTAACAGACAAATAATTTTTTCTTCTCAATCAATTTGGAATTCTTTTTAATTTGTTTACTGAAGAATGAATAATATAGATAACCTAGATGTGAAGAAAAGGACTAAAAGAGTGAAACAGTGCAAAAAGCCTCTCAGGCATAAAAAGTTTTTTCTTTCATGTAGCGGAAACTAGAAATGACGAAGAATAAAATAAAGAACAGGCATTCAGTCAACGCTTGCCGCCATGGAGGACAAAATATCGTGTATCCAAGCGAAACGTTTTCTAGAAAACCTCTAGAAAACTCTTGTAAGACTTTGTCGATATGCTCGCTGGATTCTACATGAAATTCTATGTATTCCATGCGAATTTTAGCTGTTTTGGATAAAAATTGAAAATTTTATAAAAACATGACTTGGCCGTTTTAGCCCCACTTCTAAAAAACATGACATTTCTCGACAATGAAAAACATTCTCGAAAAAAGCTTCTCGTACTTTTGTTGCCAATTGGATGGCGATTCAAATGGCATAAGAACCGAGACTTTAGCTTTTAAAACTAGGGACTAGATATGTTTGCAAAATGAGTTTGTAATTTTGAAGCTATGTGTATAGAAATACTTTTATTTTGACTACAGCATATGTGATGCGGTTCTATACAACATTCCTAGAATCTGTTTTCCCGAAAAATACCATCGCAAATTTCCAAAGTGCGATAATTTTTCGAATATAAGCGGTTTTTAGAAATTTGAGTCCCTCCTAATATTTTGAACTTTTTCATGTGAACAGGTGCACTAGAAAGGCTAAAACTATGACATTCATCACCCTCAGCTTCCGGGCTATCCAACCATGTGTATTTAAGCCAAAAATAATTTTTGTCTGAAAAATTTAAAGAAGAAATTTAGTGATTTAAATCTTATTTGTAAAACGCTGAACATCTAGTCAAACACAGATAGCCGTCCATGAACCTTATCGCATCCTGTAAGATGTCATGCACAATTAGATGTGCGGCAAAGTCGCTTTTCATTATTTTTCCTCCACGGAAAGGGGCATGAGGTACACATTCACTAGTTCAAATTCAAGTTCAGATTTATTTAGCATAAGCAAGGACATCACAAAGAAAGTAAACCTTTAGTAACTTCTAACATCTGATAAATAGAAGCCTTAGTGATACCTATATAACTGAAAACCCAAATAAAGAATGAAATATGACAGCATTCTCCAATGAACAAAGGGAAGAAAATATGAATACAACTACAGCTGTTCGACCATGTATATTCTTGAAAGAGATAGGGACAGAGCGTAGTAATGAGATTTGGATCCCAAACAGAGCTGAGCAGAAGAATATTTCATATTTGGAAAGCATATCTAGGCTCGTAAACTTCTTTTCTTAGGTGTTGGAACAGTACATTGTGCATTGATACATCAAAATTATGTAATGGTAGAATTGATTGTCAGCCTTATGGTGATGACGAAGAAATACTTTGCCCTGGTTAGAGAAATATCCAGTAACGGTTTCGACAAATGAATATACACTGTATACATGCAAAAATGGTAAATTGTTTGGTCGACGTTGCCAGATGCAAACAAATTTACCTGATTTTCTATTTGAAGAACTTCATTGTGAAGATTTAGAAGATTTAATGCTCTGTGATCTTAATGACAAAAGTACAACAAAATATTTTACAACATCAGATTTTATAGAATATCCACTAATAATTAATTCGTATAATCCGAAAGCTGCTATTGAAAACAACACAAATAATAATAAAAACAATTCAACAACTTTAATAATAAATTCATTATTGGATATAGTTAATTTAACATGGTATTGTAATCGTGGTATAATAGTTTTAACACACCCACTAGCGGCACCATCATCGTCAAATCGTTTGTGTCTTTGTCCTCCAGCTTATTATGGCGATCGTTGTCAATATCAATCAGATCGTTTAAATGTATTTTTAAGTATTTATAAGCCAACAGCGTTTGAGGGTAGTCTTGTTTTTAAAATACTGATATTTTTACTGGATGATCAAAA